GCATTTGGAATGAAAGAGGAATAAAGACATTGTGCTTGTCTGTCCTCAGGCTTGCAACCCACCATGGAAGCATTTTCTTCTTCTCTAATCCTGACATATATCTCCACCTCCCTTTTGGAAAACAAACCCCTTTTTCATAAAAGTAGGTGTTTCCCTTTCTCTATAAGGCCATCTACAGGATCCTGCAGATTTGCTCCAGACTGAGTTAATTAATGAAGAAATAAATTATCTATATCAAAAGTGTATATTATTATATATTGTTATCTCCTTTAGTTACATAAACACATGGGCTAAACTTTGAAATTGTCTTTTCTAAGTACTTGATTATGTTTTAGACAACATAAAAGTGTACTGAAAGAGGAATAGCTAAATAAATTATGGTAGATCTATATAATGGAATATATTGCTATTTAGAAGAATAAGGTAAATCTCTATGAATTGACAATAAAATATTGTAATGTTATTGTGAAGTGAAATATTTTAAGTTAAAAAGAAAATTATATAACATATGTAAAGTATTGTGCCATCTTTTCATACAAATACATATATTTCGTATATTCATAGAAAAGAGTATAAATAAATATATGTCTCTCTTGACGGAGGAAAACATTTGCTATTTATTTGTATTGTTTTAATTATCACAATGAGCACTTTTAAAACTGTTTTCATCATACAAAGACCAGAGAGTCTCAGAAAATTTCTATCGCACTTCAAGGAAAACATCAATTCTTTATCACTGGCTTGCTTATAACCAGAAAAGTGGTGGAAAATCCTCTGTTTGTCATGAGGAATTTTTTCTTATTTGTTATTTTATTTCCTCATGTTGAAATTCTCTATTCATATTCTTTGGTAATATATTAGAACTTTAAAAATTGATGAAACAGAAACCAATACTGGCTTAGATATCCCAAGCCGAGTCTTTGGCCAGTGGATGGCTTTGTGTGGCCTCCGGAGTTGGCTCAGCATGGCTGAGCACTCGCAGCCTCTCCTTCAACAGTTGCTTGTCTCTCCCATCGGGCAAAGTTGAGGAATCACGCAGCTGTGATTGCTGCTGACAGCTACTCTGTTACCTCAGGGGAACGAGCCTTCAGATGAAGCTCACTCTGGGGATGCAGGGAAGAGAGACAGAAAATAGGTGTTTGGTGACATCACAGAGCTGAAGGATAGACCAGCCCCGAAAGCTTTTCTACTCTACGTTTTCAGGTATGGGATCCATTAATTCCCTTTATTATTTAATCCATTTTGAGTTGGTTTTTTTGTTAGTTGCAACTGAGGGAGTACTGTTAATATATTTTTCCTAAGTAAATAGGAATGTGGACAAGGATTTACGCACAGTGATTGTTATCGCAAATATTTTATGAGTCAAAAAATATAAATGATCTAAATGCTGAGTATTAGGAAAGCAGGTACATGGATTATGGTTCACCAATACAATAGAATATTATGTAACTATTAAAATCAATGTTTTCAAGTAGTTTTTAATTAGCGAGGTCCTTCACAAACTAGCGCTTGTCCACTTCTCTTTGGCTCTCTGGGCTCTTCTTGGTTAACACTCTGGTGTTCTCTGCCTACATTGCACTGTCTCACTTACTTGTGTTGCCTTTTGTGATTTTTTCCCACCCAGGATGCCTCTGAATTCTCCCAACGTGTAACTCAATTCTACTTAACCTTCAAAATTCAGCTCAGGCACACTTCCTGCAGGAAATCTCCCATGATCCTTTATTCTTATGTTCCAAGTTGGTGCCAGCCCCTCCTCTATGCCTGCAATAACCGTGGTTATCATTTCTCTCCAACCAATGGTATTTTAACTATCTCTTTATGTGTCTTTCTTCCCCATGAGACTGTGAACTCTTTGAAGACAAAGACTAACTGCTTCTTATTTAGCAGTGTATCCTAAAGCCCAGCCAAAGGTCTGGCAGAAGGTATATGCTCTATAAGTATGTGTAGACTATGTGGGTAGATGGTTAGATGAATAAATGAATGAATCTTCTCCTTGAATATGTAGAGAATGCAAAATGGGTAGCTTCAAATTTTTTTAGTGGTTTTCTGTATTTTGCATGGAAATGGGAAAATTTTGTGATAAATAGTTTCTGGAGATATACTCATAGTGCCTATAGCTAACAATACTGAATTGCATAGTTACAATTTGCTAAAGGGTGGATTTTGTCATAAGTGTCCTTACCAAAACAAAACAAAATACAAAACAACATTTATAAAGGGAGATGGGAGAAAAACTTTGGGAGGTAATAGATATGTTTACGGCCTTGCTGGTGGTGATGGTTTCATGGATATATACTTATCCTCAAACTCATCAAGATGTATATAGTAAATATGTATGGCTTCTTATATGTCAATCATATCTTAGTAAAATGGTTTTAAAAAATAAGGCAAGGAAAGGTAAAAATAAAAAAGAAAAAGAAAATGTCCCTTCTCTATAATTCCTAATCTTACAAGACAATATCAATGAGTTTGTAATGACTGGCTAAATGATAAGCCTATTTTTTGAAGCTTTCTGAGAGATTACAGCTTTATTTCCTATTTTTGTCTGGTCTACATGACAATAACTAGCCAGGACAACTCTTCTGCCTGGCTTCCTTACTCTTACACACAAGTATTTATTCATTCATCAAATAATTATCAAGCACTTGTGTGCCAGACACTGGGCTAGAGGTTGGATGTAAGCAGTTAACTATAGAGATCTGGGCCCACCTCCATGCAGTTAACAGTTTAGGTAGGGAGACTGTCTTTAAATAAATAAACTAATAAATGATCCATGCAACTGAACACACTGACTTTCAGAGTACAATTCCTCTCACTCTCAGGTGGGGGGAAAAAAAGCAGCTAGCTTAACAAAAATTAAGACTAGATTTTTTAAAAAAAATTATCTTTCTGACTCCCTTTGTAAAATTTTATTAGCTAAAATTCATTACTAAATACATATAATTGAGATAGCTGAAGACAAACCCCATACTGTTATTCTCTCATGAAAAATTAAATTGAGTTACTCCTTTGATTAATTCTGAAAGCTTCAGTTTAAGGTTACTGGAGTCTGACAGAAAAATTGAAGCCATGATTGATTTATATGACACACTTTTAGTGGAAAATACTGTAAAACATTGCAAAGCACTCTGACATCTTTAAAGATGAACCCAAATGAGAAATGCCAGGCACGGGGGCAGGGAAAAGGAGTCTATGAATAACCTTCACCTCAGACCCACCCTTGCTGAGGTGCCCTGCTTGGACAGTACGCTTTCACTTTCTGAACTGGTACCTCTTGGAATAGCAGAAAGACCAGACAGCAGCACTCTCCTGTCTTACAAACAATGTTAATACTACGTTTTATAAGAAGACTTAAAACAGCAGAGAGAAGATCAAATGAATCCTGAATCTGCACATTACATATTCAAGGTATAAGACTAGCAAAATCCCTTTCCTCTACCCCTCTTTGAGGACGGATAGTATGGATTAGTCATTTTTGTACCCACACTGCCCATAGAGTAGATGGCATATAGTAAGCATTCCTAGGAATTGCTAACAAAATGTTGATGGTGATTATATCTACGCGGTGGGATTGTCTATGAGGGTTCTCTTCTCCTTTGCATTCTTTAGCCTTTTTCGAATTTTCTACAATGGTGATGTACTTGTGGTGTTATTTGCATAAATTCACTGCCAATGAAGAAGGAAGGAGGAGGAAAGAAGACATTCTGATGTTGGGAACCTCTTTAACCTCTTTTGTAATTCAACATGCTCCTAATAATTGGACATTGGTCGCATGTGGCCAACCAAGATAGGAACAGGTTTTCTCCCCACACTAGACTGTCAGATGTGAGCTCACCTGATTTTTCCCTCCAGGTATCAGAATTTTATTTTAATGTCTACTTACGTAAAATATGAATTCACAGGAAGATTACAGTGAGGAAAACTAATACTAAGTACCTACCTAGTGAGTTTGATGCTTATGTTACCCCAAAAACCTCCCTGCTACCTCTGCTTCCCATGGTGGTGCCAATGAGTGCCTGGAGTACGGGGATATTCTTTTAAGTTCCCTATAATTTCTATCACTTCAAATAAATTTAAGTAAAAACCATGTGTTTATTAAACAAATGCAACTTCAAGACAAATCCCTCACCCATTGCCAACAAGATAGTTACCCCCAGGCCCCTCCTAGAAAGATGATCTGTATCTACCACCATAGCTACTATGATCCTCATTGTACAGGGGCATGGCTGGCAAGAGGTGGAGTTCAGAAGAGAACACTTGTCTTTCTTACCTCAACATCTGTCCTTTTCCTATAGTACTATGTTGCCAGAATGTCATAAAACCACAAAAATGAGATATAGAATGATTGATTTAGAATTTATAGAATGAAGATTCTATACAGCTTATTACCTAGACAACTTAAGCAAAACAGTAACGATTCTGGTACGAACTGCTAAATTGTCTTCCCTAGGAAATATAAAGAAATCCCTAAGCCAATTGTGGATAAAGGAAATATTTCTGTTTTAACCTAGCTCAAGTGCTCTTTCAAGTTAGCCATTCTGTTTTGTTTGTTGGTTGGTTGGTTTTTTACATTAACTGCTCTGCTGAGACCCAGGCTGTTCACATCCTAATGATTTCTTTGTTGTAAGGGCCATTTTTTTATTTTAGGGCTTAAATGCTAATTGCAGAAAAGATTTATTCATTCATTCTCCTTTCAGAAACTGCTAAAAGTTCTCATTTTAGATTTAATATTAATTAACCACATTTCTCTTTCTCTAACTAGCTCTGCTATTACTAGCTATTGCATAGATCCGTGTAATTCCAGGACATAGAAAGATATGTGCTACTTTAAATTGCTCACTTCAAATGACTGGTTGCCTTATCTTGAAAATTAAATATCTGTATTTAAGCCACTTCTGATCTTCTGTTCCCTGTATCTAGAAGAAAAAATTTGTGTAATACATGGCTTTTTGAAAGAATGAGAATAGTTATTATCTGATAAAAGTGTTCTACCTTGGAGTTGAATTTATTTACTGTTACTTTCATTATGGAAACCTCACTATTTCTACCCTGACCATAGCAGCTGAGTGTGTACTGTTTCAGGCTCATGAAACTACCAGGATTCATGGATGGAAAGCTTCATTTCACCCCATGCCACTGTTTTCTAGACCTGTCTTCAGCCCCGGCATGATCAAAGACTGTGGAGCCACATGGGTAGTCCTGGGGCACTTGGAGAGAAGACATGTCTTTGGGGAGTCAGATAAGCTGATTGGGCAGAAAGTGGCCCATGCTCTGTCAGAGGGACTCGGAGTAATCACCTGTATCAGGGAAAAGCTAGATGAGAGGGAAGCTGGCATCACTGAGGTTGTTTTCGAGCAAACCAAGGTCATCGCAGATAACGTGAAGGACAGGAACAAGGTTGTCCTGGCCTATGAGCCTGTATGAGCCATTGGTACTGGCAAGACTGCAACACCCCAAAAGGCCCAGGAAGTACATGAGAAGCTCCGGGGATGGCTTAAGTCCAACATCTTTGATGCAGTGACTCAGAGCACCCATATTATTTATGGAGGTTCTGTCATGGGGGCAACCTGCAAGGAGCTGGCAAGCCAGCCTGATGTGGATGGCTTTTTCATGGGTGGCGCCTCCCTCAAGCCTGAATTCGTGGACATCATCAATGCCAAACAATAGGCCCATCCATCTTCCCTACTCTTCCTGCTAAGCCAGGGACTAGGTAGCCCTGAAGTCCAGTAACTGCCCCCACCCTGCACATGTTTCTGATGGTATCATCAGCACCCTCTCATGGCCTACTCCAAACTATATCTTCCTTTACTGTTTATACATTCCCCCACAATGGTTGGGACCAGGCCACTCCCTTCTCCACTCAGTATGATGGTTGGAACTAAACATGTCACCAAAGTGGCTTTCTTGGCTGAGAGGTGGAAGGGGTAAAGCTTGCTTCTGGGTCCTCCCAGGCCCCAGTGAAGACAGGAGAAAGAAACCATCCTACTCTCCCCTCTCACACCCTGAAGCCAGGCTCCTCTCCGTAGAGGCCGGGGGTGCTCCCCTCTCCCATGGTGCCGATGCCTGTGTGCTATGTACATGACCCATCCCACATGAGGGAAATAAAACACCTGGCACTGAAAAAAAAATTACATTACCACCATTGATTTCTTCCTTAGAACCATCTTCTTATAGAAGCAATAAATTGTATAAGCCTCAATGGATTTTGGTCAAGAAAAAGAAAGTCCCAGGGGTTTCATCTTGAAGACGTCTTCATTGTTCTGCACACATATCATGTGCGTCTGAATGATCACAATGTAGCGATACACATGCAGGCTTCAGATCCAGTTATCCTGGATTTGAATCCTGGCTCTAAAACCTAATAAGTATATTTGAAAGTTTAACCAAATAGTATTTATATATTTTTTGCAACTGTAGAAATAAATTTTTAAAAAACGAAATATTGGCCCCTAAATCTGATTTAAGCTGTTAGGAATAAAAGTTTTTGTGTCATTTGTTTTGTTTATTCTGGATCTTACCTATTCTCCAAGTTGATGAAAGAAATGTTTTTTAAAAATATTATAAGGTGAATTTAAATTTTAAGTAAAGAAAATATGAGGCCATTTTTTACTTTGATGAAAGCTTATTTTGAAGATCTAGTTTTTGCTTTTCTTTGCCACTCGGTAAAATCTTGTACAAGGAAGACTCTACCCAAGGCGAACAAGAGATGCCTGTTAATGAATCTGAAACAGCGATCATTCAATATTCAATATTTGTTAAAGTAGGTTCTCTTCTCCTGTTTAGATTTAATTGTGTTCTTACTAAAGCAGGCTCATACAGCAAATATGTTACTGTTAACTTAAATCACAATGATATGTGTGAAATGGTTAGACCCCTAGTTCAGAGATATGGAAACCTTGGATTGAAGGTTAAGGAGCTTGGGGCCAAGACCACATGATAAGTTACAGATTTGTGACATAATTACAATCTTATATGCTAAGGGCTGTATGCCTTCCATTTAATGCTGCATCAGTTTTGTTGAGTAGAAATAGTAAATAGATTGGGGATATTGGACACTTTGGAAGATTAAATAGATTTATTCTTCTATCTCCCTCAAAATATGAATGTTGCTTATGGCACCAGAATAAAACACACTGGGAGATTATAGTTCAGAAAAGGAGTAGTAAATTATCATGCTCACATTTTGCCTATTTTGAAATTTTGACTAAAGCTGACTTGAAACTCTCTTTCTCCTTCTCCTTCCTAGTTCACATGCACTTCTATTTCCAGAATCCCAAACACTGGTGAGTAGGTATTGGTAATTCAGCTATATTCTGCTTAATAGAGCTATATCCAGATGAATTTGGTACAATCCCTTGGTAACAAGGAAAATAACCCATTGAAACTAAAATAAAACACATATTTATGAAAGAGAAATAATCTTGAATAATCTCATGGGACAAAAAGGTAGAGAGCACTTCTTGACTGCACAAGGATTTAGAGCCAGGAGAAATCTGGCAGAAACTAATATGAGCCATCACATAGAAGTCTCTGGACACCATGGTCTCCATTCTCTAACCCATCTATTTCTCTGTGTAGACAAGCTTTTCTCTGCTTCTCATGTGAAGGGTTAAAAGATGCATTCCTCTATCACCTCCTCTCCCAACCCACCAGATCCAATTTAACATAACCTTCTAGGAAAATAGTCTATTCCAGTGGATGCATTTTCCCCACAACTCAATCCTTAATCCTGAATTCCTAAGACAGAGAATAGGCCTGGCCATGCAGAACATTTGGACTTGTTTCACTCTAACCAGACAACCCTACTTTTGTTCAATCAACTGTTGCCAAAGGGCAATGACCCCATTAAAATGTCATGATCCCCTCTAAGGTAAAAGAAAGTTCTCAGAGACAGAACTGTGACTGGGAAGGTATCCCCAATTTGAGTCCAATTGGTATTTACAACTTTGTTTTGTTTCTTAATGAATTTATGGTTTCTAATAGCTGATTTATAAATAAAATTTAAACATAATTTAGTCATAAGAAAGAAACTCCTTTCTAGTAATGAAGGAGAAACAACCAACCAGTCAGGCCGGGCGTGGTGGCTCACGTCTGTAATCCTAGCACTTTGGGAGGCCGAGGCCGGTGGATTGCTCGAGGTCAGGAGTTTGAAACCAGCCTGAGCAAGAGCAAGACCCCGTCTCTACTATAAATAGAAAGAAATTAATTGACCAACTAATATATATAGAAAAAATTAGTCGGGCATGGTGGCACATGCTTATAGTCCCAGCTACTTGGGAGGCTGAGGCAGTAGGATTGCTTGAGCCCAGGAGTTTGAGGTTGCTGTGAGCTAGGCTGATGCCACGGCACTCACTCTAGCCTGAGCAACAAAGGGAGACTCTGTCTCAAAAACAAAACAAAACAAAACAACCAACTAGCCATCCCTGATAATGATGATTACTTAGTGTGAATAATAACAAATAAGTGACAAAAACCTTAGTGGTCATAATTGCTAGTATATGTCACCACTTTTCAAAGTGCAATTATCTGTGTAATTTGTAATTAGCCATTGAACTTAGTATATATATTATAAATACAAAATATTTATGTATAGATACCTATTCACAGAGAATTCTAAAATAAATGTATCTTATATGGAAAAGTACATTAAAAACTAAGTTCCTATATAGATTATTTGATTGCCTTGTAACTTGGCAATAGATCTTCAGAACTGTAGAGGCAATGTTAAAAAATTTCAGGTAAACAAGTGATACATAATACTATAATGATCAGAAAATATGACACATATTTTAAAGTGATTAAAATGAGTAATGAAAAAGCTAGATCACACTACAAATGACACCAAACATACAAAATATATAACTTAAGTCAAATAAAAAATTCCCATATGTGATATAAATGGATATTAAATGGTAATGAAAGTTAGGAAAATACAGTATAAAAACTGTTAATAATTGTATAGGTTATAGATTTTAACCATTAGATTTTTGCAAGCTGAAATTCATGTTCTATATGTGTCAAAACCAGTATGAATTTTGTTTATCAAAAATGTTTTACAAGTGCCACAAATTTTAGGGGCAAAATGATGAAAATCATAAATTCTGACATGACATGTGAATCTATGAAAATATAATATATATGTAGTTATATATATGTGAAAACATATTAGGAAAAACTTAGCTAATGTGAAATTCATTTTGTAAATTGAAGTAGGCAATAATATAGTTCTTTATGACACTTCTAGGGAATTATAAAAGAAATGCTATGTTGAATTGATCTTTTTAAAAAGTAATGACTTAAGATTTCAGAGTGAGATGGCAGGAAATGTCAGAATTAGATCATATGGATTCATGTACTATATGTAGAGAGGTTATCTAGGATGGGAGCTGTTTCGGCATAGAAATGAAAGTAAAAACCATACCATCCATTTAGAAAAATCAAAACCTCACCAACATTTACCCAAGTCCTGCAAAAACAAGTTTCCCACTTTATTTTTTAGAGAGTAGGGAAATTTTATTCTTTTGTCAGTTTCCATTTTCACTAATCTCTGTTTTCCCTGGGCTGAGTGAATATGCCAGAATCCTATGCAAAACGCTGCTCTTGTTTTGGCTTAATTAGGAACCAGAAATAGAGAACACCTCAAGGGATTTCTAACTGAGCATGGCAGGCATGAAATATTTGGAGTGTTCTGATCACGGTTGGGACAAGTATGTGAATTATGTTTGTTCAAATGTCCTTAAACCTCCAAAACCTTCAGGCCAAGTCTGCCATGACTCTGACAGAAGAGTGGCATTTCATACCTTAAATGAGGCTGAATCTGCTCTGGCTACACCAGAGCCCTTGCTTTGCAAGCCTGAGCCTTCTGAATGCCTCCACCCAGGAGCCAGACACAATGGTCTCTGAGACACCATATCCCAGACTGGATCTATTATAACTTCAACCAGGCTCTGTCATTTTGTAAACTGTCATTAGGACACTAAAGGCAAATCAGTAGGGACCCCCAGATGGATGCTGCCAGGAATCTTTAGTCACTTCTGACACCCTAAGGGCCGGTTAATTCCATCCTGCCTCCCATGCTTATAATCTTAGGGCAATAAACAATATGCAGATTCCTCTAGTCACCTGACTTCTTCAATATGTGGCTTGTGCTTCCTTTTTTTAGACCTTATTTTTCTACTCTAATTTGCTGCTTTTTCTCTTGTTAATTCCTTATCTTTGTTCTTGATCCTACCTTATCTATCAACTTTCTCATATTCATTCTGTGAAAGTTGATCATATGAATTGGGTCATTCTTGACATACCCCACTAAAACAGAGTCCAAAAGCCAAGTCACATTTCCCCCCATCTAAAACATCCTAAGAAGTTTTACAAAAAAGAAGCTAGGGTGATTGCTGTGGAAAGAGATATGAATTAGAAGTTGTTAGGCAGGCGATTTGCAAAGGGAAAGAAAAGCAAAAATTAATAGTTGGGGCAGAGTATAAACCCCATTTTAGAGTCCAGTGGACAATCATTGGAGAAGATTTCTAGATGCTGGGTTTGAAGCACCTTTAGTGAAGATGGTAGTGGTAGTGTCAACCATGATTATCTGCCACAGCAGAGCATGGAAGATGTAGGTGTTCTGGTGAACTTTCTAAGTGGCCTACACTGTTACGGTGACAAGTCCTTTGAAGTTATATCAAGTCATTCAGCTTCAGCTTGCAGAGCTTCAGGAAAAGGGTAGTTTTAGGTCTTGGTGATGCCAAATCAGGAGGGTGGAAGAAAAATTGGAAATGTTAATTACTGACTAAATGTGCAAAATGCAGGATACGGTTTATAATGAGGTTAAAAAATATTTCGAAGACAATGAACTAGACTAGAATCTGATAACCTAAAAGGGCAGGTTATAGTTTTCCATGGAAACATAAAATTTCTCTCTACAATCTCCCCCATTTTGACCAAAGATAATCAAAGTAATATTACTCTTGTTTATAAAATAAATCTAGTATCATTAAATTTGGCCTGATCATTTATATAAGTACAGCAAGAATAACTGACAACATAGGCCTTTTAAAATTTGTTTTGCTGGAACTTTTATTAATATAAAGGATCTCAGATTAGACTTTTAAAAGCCTCTGAAGACTAGGAAACAAGCCAAAATCTCACAATCAGAGTTTCTTTTTTTATTATTTTAAAAATATTTTTATTTTATTTTATTTTAATTTTTTTATTTCAGCATATTATGAGGGTACAAATGTTTAGGTTACGTACATTGCTTTTGTGCCACCCGAGTTAGAGCTTCAAGCATGTCCATCCCCCAGACAGTGCACACTGTACCCATTAGGTGTGTATATACCCCTCCCATCCTCCCCCCATCTGCCTGACATCCAATGCATGTTACTCCTATATGTGCACTTAAGTGTTGTCACAATCAGAATTCACCTGAATTACCTACAGATTTGAATGAATTCCTCTATTCTTAAGGACCCCAAAGTATCTTAAGATTCCTGGGCCTGCCAGGAATTGACCCTCGTTTCTCACCTGTAAGACTGAGAATCCTGTAAATCAGGGATCAGGCCAGTGTTTTCAAGAGGTCTTTCTCAGCATTGGAAAAATCAACCTTATAAAGTCAACCTTACTTCATTAAAATTGTCTCCTTGTATCTGATTCTATGCACATGATTCTCAAATATGACTTTCCAGTCAAAGCCTTGGTAATATAGCCAATTTTTCCCATTATGTCCCATTAGAAGAAGGACAGATTCTTATTGACCTTTCATAAATAACTATATTGATATGAAAAATAAAATATTCAATAGGCATTTCCAAATTCTGGAGGGATTAGGTCAGTAGGAAAAGATAAATGTTTTATTTTTGTTCACAAAAGTATAATCTACTCAATTATGGTGCATTATAGTTACTCAAGGAAAAAAAGAAAAGGGATTTAGTTACTAAAATCCAGAAAATAGAATATTAAAGAACCACCAATGTTCCAACAAAAGGCCATAACAATTACAACCATTCTTCATCAGTTCATTCAGTCCCATGTAATTAATTCTTGTTCTGCTTGATCTAGAGTTCTGGAAATCCGTACTCAGCCCAGTGGTATGATCTCAAAGTTATTTAAGCAGGGCGACCAGAAGCCTGTACCCAGAGTCCCTTCCGTTCCATGGTCTCTGACATAGCTCCTTTTGTGGAAGATGAAGCATTCTGGCTTGTAGTTGATTGCAAGAGCTGTCTGGAAAGCATCAGAATAAAACAATGTCTGTGAATGACAAATATTTTAAATAGCCATGGTTAAAGATTTG